ACCGAAAATCTGTCAGCAGACTTCCACGGAGCAATAAAAAAAAATAATAATAATAAAATAAGATTGCCAAAGTTTGGGGTTGCAGAAAAGGGGGAACAAATAAAATTATGAGTTTGCGGAGCTCGGAGACAGGAACACATTTACGTGTGACTACAAGCTTGGCCGGCTGAAGCAAGCTACTACTCGTAAAATGTGTTTTATGTTTTATTCATTAGTATAAGATAACATATCCCAACATCGCCAGTTAGAACACTAAAACTCTATGATATAGCATAATAATTTGGTAACCCCGTCTAGATTCGGAGCAGGTACATTCTGAACTCAAACACAGTTCTTGTTGAGGAAAATGCCCATCTATGCTCACATGGCCTGAATAGGCAGATATGATATGGCCTATTCAGGCGATGTGCTTGCAGCGTTGTGGACACAGTTGTGTCTCTTTCAGGAGATGAGAACACACGCTCGCTTTGTATCGAAAATACATCACCCTTATGCTAATGTTAGCTAGTTATTTGCATTTGAGTTGACCCACCTTTTAATTGTTGGGCGCCTCAATTTTGGCAATAGACTTACAACTCATCAGATTATGACGACTGAAGTAAAGCGCACTGTGGGCTAAAGCTCAACGCTCATCAAACACGGGGCATTCCATTCAGTTGTACATGTTGCGCACCCTCATTTTGTAGCTGTTGCACTGAGGCGACTCTTCATTTAAATGAACATGATTATGGTATGACAACATTTCTACTCCTTAAAATTCATTGTACATTACTGGTAGCGATAATTGGTGCAACGCCAATCAGAAGGGTAGCTTACTCGCCGCCATGGACAAGATAATTAGTGTCTTATAAGAGCAGCGATACAATGCATTCAGCTGAGCTTAACTCATTCACTCCCAAGGTCCAGAATTGGCTGGTACTGAATGAGTTAATAGTCAGCTGTGGAGGCAGAGAAGCTCCGGGCACCATAGTCAGGCATGCTTGAAGGCAGTTTTACAGTGAGGCAGATGCCATGACATCATCACAAACATTTGTTGGCAAAGTTTAAATCTATTGCTTCCGTCGAATTCATCCCCCAATTAAGCTGCTATGAGAATATCTCAATTTTCTTGCACTGATAACACTGGAATGAAAAGCAAAGATATTAGCCCCATGTTACAATTCCCCAAATCAGGAATTTAAAAACAGATCACAAATATTTGAGAGAAAATGGCATTCTAACTATGGTACTTACGAGAGTACGTAAGCCTTGGCAGAGAGTCTTAAAATCTACAGAAAGATCCTCTTTAATGCAGGGGCAGTATATAACTCATCTTTAATTGAAAACTAAACAAACAAAACAAACACATTTTTGTCTTCGGAACTGTAGCCAGGCTGAAAAAATGCTATAGCGATATTGATCCACCTATTCCGATCAGTCTCAGCAGTGATGACACCGACACAATTAGAAACAAATCACTTCCTTCCATCAACTGGGACCAATGATCCACCCTTTTGTAATGCCCTCCTGATCCAAGTCATAGCACGTTTTTATTTTTAGAAAACGAGGCCCATCGAAAGCAAAAAAGATCGCAATCGTGTCAACAAAATGACAACAATTTTTTAAGAAGCCAGGCTTACTCAAATGCACTGTTTTAATCAGCAAAATCACTACTATGGTTCTCGTGCCACTTTGTCCCTCAGCCCAAATCTCATTTACTAGTGTTTCTAGAGAATAAAATAGAAAACCATGAAGTTGTTCATTATTAAGTTAAATGTGTTCTCCTCTCTTGTGTATTCATAATTGTTCTTCAACCACGCAATTTTTTTTTCAGCTTATCATTATACTCAAATAAGTTTCTGTAGGCTATCTGAACATCAAAATATTCAATAGCTGCAGCTACAATCTGCGCAGCTGTGCTTAATAGTCAGCTGTAGAACTAAGGGTGCTGCGGGTACCGTAGTCAGTCATGCTTGAAATTATTTTTAAATTATTCAGAATTACTTTTTAAAAAATGGCTCCGATCAGAGTACGGATGGCTGAGGCCTATCTTTTGATACCTCATTTGTGGGGTTGACAGGTGTGGGCTATATTTTGTCATGGTGGTGGGGATGGGGGGATAATAAAGACAGAGATGATGAGCAATTTTAATCTGGGCAATGCCAATATCTGCTGAGCAGCAGTACTTGCTCCGCAATAGACCCATAAATAATAATTAGTACCTGGTGTTAATACCATTTGTAATCTTTAGTCCAAAAAGTGCACCTAATGTCTCATACTTACTTTAATAGCCTTGATGCCTGACTTGGTGATTTGGGTCATCTTGGCCTTCGAGATGGGTGGCTTGTACTCATTCAACGAGTACAGCTGCAAAATCACAGGAGACAGAAAATGAGAATCAAGTTTCAAATATATCCTCCTAGTCTTCAAATTGTATTCCGACATCCCTCTGTGGTAGCTTTGTATTTTAAATGCAGTTGCAGTGCTGTGCTGCTATGGAGGTGCCATATCAACAGTAGTGCACAGATCAAATTGTCCCCCCCCCTCACTAATCGAGGCTATCCACATCCTGCTTTTCCCTCGCGAATGGAACAAACAGGTAAATATTGGCAGTTTTTTTTTTTTTGCATCCAAACATGCCGCGTTTATTAAAAATTTCCTTCATGTCAAAGTAACGTTTATGATTTTTAGCACCGCAGATATGGCAGGGAAACTGAGCCTTTTTTTTTTTTTTTGCCGCAGATATGGCAGGGAAACTCAGCCATTTTTTTTTTTTTAACAGAGACTTCCGAGTCCAAGTGAGAGACAAGGGAAATAATTTATGGTAGTAACAACGTGGAAATTTGGTCTGCAACTCTTTTGATAGTGAGGGTCGGAATGCAGGACAGGAAGGGTGACATAAAATTGTTTCCAATTAGGAGCACAACAACGCAAAGTCAAAGTGTACCTTTATTGAAATATCGAGGGTCGGAATGCAGGACAGGAAGGGCGACATAAAATTGTTTCCAATTAGGAGCACAACGCAAAGTCAAAGTGTACCTTTATTGAAATATTTTTTATTCCTCTTTCCATATTGTCTTTAAAAACACACAAGCCAAGCTAAATCAATTTACCAGGCTCAGGCATACTGAGGAAGATATTTAAGAATAAAAGAATAAGAATATTGAGAAAACCTTTATCCGTCTCACACTGGAGAAATTCCCAATTTACAGCAGCAAAGTTATGAAAGGAAGAAAGTAGAAGAACAAAAATTATAAGAGCTGCTGTAAAGGCAGCCACTCCTGCGGCGCCATCTTGAAGTCATAACATAATAACAAAATAATCCATCACAACACATAAGACACAGACCGTCATTCAATCTTAACCACTTTTCTGGGTACTCTTTTTTGTTTGAAGCAGTTATAGATGAAAGAGGAGAGGATCAAAGTGTCCTATTTATCAGATATTTAGGTTTTCTTAATTTCTTGAGTCAGAATTATATATTTTAACTCGATTTGAAACACTGATTTTTAGCCACATTAAATTGAAAACCGGTAATTTGGATGAGGTCTTGTTTTTTTCTTCATTCTATTGCATTTAATAGATTATCAGCAGATACTCAAAATCAGATGACTTGGACTCAGACTGGACTCAGGAGGAAAAAAAATATCATAGAATCTATGATTTGTTGTCTGTTTCTCAGTTGAGCAATATTTTCAATGATACCAGTCTTTTGAAAACAGGATAGACCTTGGATTCAACAACAAAAAGGTCACACCTAAAATCTCGACCCTTACTTTCTGAGCATGAAGACATTGGCCAGAGACGGATGAATTTTCACTGGTTTTAAAAAGTCACAACTTTTGCTGATGTAAATTGGGAATTTCTCAATTGTGAGACAAATAAAGGTTTTCTTATCTTTATTCGGAGCAAATAATACGCTTTTCCCTCCTTCTGCCCCCGTCTCAAATTTATCACTTTGTATAGTGTCTTTGGTAACCTTTATTGTGTTATTTTATTTGATTTATTTATTTTGAGGGAAAATGGCACTTTATCACTGAAATCATCTCTAAATGACCTGACTGACAATGCTGCAATCAATTCATCTTTTGACTTTTTACATATATTGCATACCTACTAGTCTTTTATTACTACTTGATGTGGAAGTCTTAACAAATATATATATATTTTTTTATTCCCAAGTCCTACTGGTATTCTCTTGGCCCAAGTGCTTTTGTACATTTCTGTCAACTCATAAAAAAAGCATATTGCATTGGGCTACAGAACTGAACGTGCACTGATCACGTTCAGATTTGTGGTTTCTACACCGTGACCATTCAAAGTTAAGAATGGCGAAAATTTGTGTTATTTTATTTTTAACTACTGAATGCAAAATAACTGATAGAACACCAAGAGGTACCGCGGTCATGTTTCCAATGTCAGTGATGCTAACGCTCCAAGATATCGCGCAACTCAGACGGGTTAGCTAACTTGTAGCGTGCTCACGTTAGCAGCGCGCCCGTTCTCATTCCACACTGCAGATAGTTGTAGTTACAATGTAATCACGTCGATCGATCATGAAGCAGCTAACGTGGCTATGACCAGATGAGTGCTTCCGTAAATAACCAGCGAGTCAACATGTTTGTGCGCAGTTCCGCGGCCTTGCGAGACAGTCCCGCTAACGTTAGTTTACATTAGCTTGGGCTAACTAGCTTTAACGTCGCCGCCGATAAAAAAGGGGGTACAGGATTTCCTCGTCGTGTTGATATCCACTGCAAGGATTTGTAACAAACCTCGTTGTTGAAGGCTTTGACGGCCTCCATGGTGGCGTGTTTGGACTCTCAGCAACTATCTACTCAGTAATCGGTTGGATACATGCATGCTCGATGTCTGGCGAGATGGAGGAGATTGCCAATATGGCGTACAAGCACCGGAGGCCAACTACAGTACACACGCCTGCGACACCCAACGTCGGTTTGGGGAAACTACAAGTTACGCCTCCATGTTTCTGCATGGATCATTTAAAATCATTAGGAAAATAATTCACTTTTACAGTCGTGTTTTATTGTCCTGGTTACAAAAGAGGTCATCATCATCGAGAGCTTCATTATACACATTGAAATACGTCACCCAGAGACATACTGTAGAGTCACCAACAATGTCTTAATTTTAGGAGGCTCAAAAGCCGACATTGCTTTTGAGAGAGATAGACCAAGGTTGGGGCACTCCGAGGTCATTGATTTTTGATTGCGACTTGCACTATTTCACAACATGATTTGTGTGATAATTGCACTGGTCTACAAATTTAGCATTTTCAGAGTTGCAAGTAAATTGTCTTGATGAATATTTTGCAGGTTCTCAATCCTTGTTTTTTCTCTCGAGGTCATCAAGTTTTCATATGTTTATATATATGTTTATTACAACACATGGTAAAATCTATTACCCAAGATTTTATCGGTCAAACTTAATCTCTCACTCTTTCTCCTGATGTGCTCGGGAAAAAGGGTAAAGATATATTTTTTAATAAGCATCAAATATATGCTGAGGGACACATGCAGCAGGCTTTGATTAAAATTTGTAGTTCACCAGTGTTCTATGCAGGGTCCAAGTTTCCCACTGCCAGTGTTCCGTGGGGATTAAAATACTGTATTCACGTTTCATTTGTTTGGTTTGGTTTAATTTACAGCAGTGAAAACAAGTCAATATGTAAGTAATAACAGCCTTTTAAATGACAGTGTAGAACAAACAGTTCTGCTTGACATCATCCAAAAATCTTTCAAACAAATGTGAAAACACTCATGATTTATGGCAATTCCTCTGTCCGTGCAGACTGTCGTGCTCATGAGATTCTTCTCAATAGTTTGTTTAAAAGGTGAAACAGGCATTGAAGGTGCATGGCACCAATAAGAGACTGAAAGCTGTTAAAAACATATCCAGTACGGACACCATCTAAATATATCAAACGTATAACAAAACAGGACCAAGTGTTTCCATGTGAAAAGCAATGTAGCATACAACACGAAACTCGAACGACAAAGAAGTAAAAGCAATCACCTGCAACGTTTGCTAATCTTACAAATCAAATACTAAAATAATACTAGAATGCATTTCACATTGTAATGTGACCTACGAGTTAGAAAATGGCTGCACAGATTCCATTTCTGAATATACAAAACAGTTTTCATTGAAGATCCATTTTCTAGTTGAAGATCTTTCAAGTCCACAGTAGTCCCATTTGAAAATTCAACAGCAGAGCGCGAGCGCGAGTGCGTGTGTGTGTGTGAGAGAGAGAGAGAGAGAGAGAGAGAGAGAGAGAGAGAGAGAGAGAGAGAGAGAGAGAGCGCCCAAAGTCAGTAGCATAAGATGGAGCATTTATAAACTGGTCTCAGCCACCGGAGTAGCAATGGCTGAAGCGCCATCTTGGAAGGCCTCTGCCTCCACCTGCTGGTCATTTGGGACACAGATCTCTTGCACCAAAGGCCCATTGGATTCCTTCCACTCTCGGAACCTGACCGAGGTCAGCTCAGGGTCTGACAGCACCTGCTCTAATGCCTGTAGGTCTGCCTGTTTTGACTGGGATAGAAAAGCGAGCAAAGAGTGTGAAAATGATGAAATGATCACACCATTTGTTTTCACATTAATACAACAAAATTGTGGTTTTTAAAAGCTAGTACAGCAAACAGAAACATTACAAACTCAGTCACAACAAGTACTAATCGATACCAATCCCCCCGCCCCCAAATAATCACTAAAAAGCCTGCAACTAAGAGACCAGGGGTGCAAACAATAAACCGAAACATAGCGAGGCAAGACCGTATTTGAAAAGATGTACCTTCAATGTGCTGTTCAGTGTCCTGATAAGATGCAGTTTCTCATTAACAGAGTGGTTTTTGCAGCGTTTCACAAAGGAGGCTCTGAATTCCCGTTTGGTGGATGGTTTGCGATCTCCTATTGGCGATAGGCTGGCCTCCTTTAGGTGGATATACAGCTTCTCCATCTCGTCAGTGCTGTTACAGTGATCACCTGGAGCAAAATTACCGGTAGTCACACGACATCATGAAGTACGTGTAGTGTCATCTTTGTCATTACGTAACCATGACAACAATAACACATACAAATACAATGCAAAACATATCAATGGTGTCATATTTCAAGAGGAAAAGACCTCCAAATGCATGCCTGAGCCTGGCAATAGGACTACAATTGATCAATTTTAGAAATGAACTCTAGTTTGTCAGTTTGATTTGTTTTCAACTTTTTTTTGTACGTGTTTGTTTTTTCAGCTGCTAAAATTTAAAGCGAGTTCCCACAGATATGTGCAATTTTCACAAAGAATGATGCAAACAGAGGCACTTGTTCACAAAAACAAAGCCAGAGGCCGAGTCTTACCTCATGAGCAACTACTTTTCAAAAAAGCGACTCGTGAGTTTAATTCTAGCTACGAAATAAGCAAAATGGGCAGAATCGTTTTCAAATGACATTCTGTATGACTAGAAAGGAGGTCCACAACACCTGAAGTATCCTCCTTTGCCGCCCCTTCCTCACCGGACCCTGTTCCAGCCAACTCCAGAGGAGCCCACCACTCCGGCGCTTCCTCCTCCTCTGGCGGAGGTTGATGCAAGTGCACCTGGACTGAGCGCACCGCTGGCGCTTCGCCTATGGGAGCAGTAGAAACCTGCGCGACCAGGTCCAACCAAGACTGACGCTGTTTGGAGAGAGACGAGGCGGACGAACTCTGCGATGTCATCGTACTGAGAGGTGAGGAATGCGAGCAGTTTGCTTCACTGGGGACAGCCGAGGAGTACGGTGGAGGAAGAGTGCCCTGAGACCGAGATATGAATCATGTCAAGGACAGCTTTGAAAGCTAGATTACAGATTTACAATAAAGTGCAGGTAAACATTAGAGGAAGCCACGGCACTGACTTGATGTGGACTCCCAGGAGAACCAGATGGTGCCAGGGAGTCTCGCAGGGTCTGTTCACAGTATGGTGGCGGAGGTATGTCTGTGGTTTCTGCTTCTTCATGGTCACTAGCCTCACTGTAACATTCTAAAAACACACATGCACAATGTCATCTCCAAACTCAGTGTGTGCTCATAAACACATTTATGAGACCACTAGTCATAAAGAGATCCTTTGGCATGATTAAGTGCCTTTCTGGATTACAAACTATTTCAGTTTCTCTTCAGGAGTACTGTGTTAATAATTTAACATCCAAATCAAGAAAGAATTGTTTTTTGTACTAGATTTTTTTTTTGCAAAATACTAACACCAAACAATGTCTAAAAATGTATCTAGTAATACACAAATGAGATTATTTGAGTGCTATCGAATTGTGATTTGTCAGCATTCATTTATCAAAAAGAAATTTTCCACTTTGATGCATTTCAAATGATCAAACTTTTTCATCTGAAATCGGACAGTCACACGAGAAGCAAGTTTTATCCAGAAGCTCACCAGCTGCTGGGTTTTGTTCCGTGGGCTCATAATGAATGGAGGCAAGCCCGAGCTTATTTAACCATCTGGAACACAGGCACGCAGATTTCGCTCAGCGGGATTTGAACATTTCATATCATTTGAAGTATCTGTTTTTTAATGCAGTCGATGCACAATTGTAATTGCTGTGACTTACACGTTCATTTCTTCATGGTTCTCAGCAGCAAAATAAAACATCATGACTTGTGGGTGGCAGGCTTTGAATGCACTGCAGAAAGAAGAGTCAGGATTAAGATGGGATGTGAAACCAGAGCACAAAGATAGAAACAGAAAGTCAATTCCCATGAAGTTTACTTTCCTAAAATGTGAGAGGAACCTATTTATTATTATGTGGGGGACATTGGAGACATTGTTCTAACTGCATGCATACTCACTGTTTCTTCTTGCACTCGATGGCTCGGTCGATCATGAAGTTGGTGAGGTCAATGTAGCCCTCGGCTTTCTCCGCCTGCAACACAGACATTGAACAACAGTCAGCGTGAAAACAAGATGAACTCATGACTTCAAGCCACTTCCTGACAAAGCCACCTGCCGTCCGCTACTTCTTCTATTTCCTCCTACAGTGTTTCTGATGGTAAATAAAACCTACCAGGAACACAGGCGTCATTATTAGGCCCAGTAGCGTCTGCTTCAAGAACCACAGTGACACAACATGCTAGTGACTATTAAAACAGGCTGACAAGGAGACAGCTGTGCTGGTGTGCGTCATCGCAGAGGCTGACACGCATCCATGCCGAATGCACTGTGGCTGCAAATTACGACCATGACATGGTGCACCTGAACATTTTTAGTTTGCTTGTAAATGAACCATGACAGAATTATTTTTGTGAAGTCCAATTTTTTTTTTTTTTTTTGGTGCAACTTGTTCAGTGATCCTCATTCACTCCCAAAGACGTTTTTATATGTCTTTTCAGACTTGGTTTAGAAATTGGCTGGTACTGAATGAGTTAAGCTTTGTAAACTCATGTAGATGCTATTTCAGAGAGAGCTTCCCCAAGAGGAACAGATGAAAGGAACCGTTTGTTAAATAGACTGTTCAGCTCAACTTTTGTCGGAATTGCTCAATCATCAACTAGAGAGCCACTCAAATGGGTTTTACATGTTCAATAAGAAGAAAACAATAAGGGCATTCTCACCTGCGCATTTGTGTACCAATATAATGCAGTCTTCTTTAGGACGAACCAGAACTTCTTCCATTTCATACCCAGGAAGCCTTTGCTCTCTTTCTTCTTGTACAACCAACCCTGGTGGTCTGGCTGACCCAGCTCTTTGACTGACACCCGCCGCCTGCTCATCGCACCATTGCCTGTGCTCACACACAAAAGCCACAATGAGATACGGCGCACTTTCAAAAGATCTACAGTGTGTGAAAGCTCAAATGTTTCCAGTGACCTAAAATTAGCCTGCCAACACGGTAAAACTGCGCCTAGGGTTTTTTTGTTTAAAACCTATGAACATCAGCCTACATTTTTCAGATATGAATCTAGATGTGATAATGATATACAAATTAACTCTCACTGCCTACACAGGGTTAAACCCAAAATTGAAGTAACCAAGCAGAAGCTGCGAATGACAGTTGAAGGGCCCGGCAGACATACTGATGTGGACAGGAAGGTGACGACTTACCTCCTCGGCTCTTCTTCTTGGACTTGTGTCGCAGGGAGACCTTTTGGAGCGTAACACAGGAGGGGGACAGAGTGATGGGATGTTTCAATGAATTTAAGAGCACACTAACCAAGACCCAGCAGCTCACAAGAAGAGGCTGTGTGGAACATCCTGTTTCACACTGCAAGTGTCACATGCATTATCTCTCTCTCTCCCTCTCTCTCTCCCTCCCTCTCTCTCTCTCTCTCTCCCCCCACACCCCTACATCTCTCTGTCATGCACACACGCACGCACACGTATGTGCAAAAGTATTGAGGATCCTCAACTGTCCCTCGACTTTCTGCCTTATTCAACTTTGGTTCGACTTTCAAATAATGCATCCAATACCAACATATGAGGACATAAAGTAGTAGTTATACCATTTGTAAAATGACAAGAAGTGATTCTCAGTGATATCTGAAGATATTTTGTCTTGCTAAATTAAATAGATCAGATGGAGATTAAACTTGGATTTGGTTTCAGTTTTCTTTAAAAACCGCTACCACAGCAAAATCTGTAGAAATCAATCCCCCCAAAAAGTTGACAAAAGAAACGTTGATACATTGGGTTTTGTTTTGTTTTTCCAAGCCAGTATGATATAAGACAGAAAGTACCACCTAAACATCTGCCAGTTTTCCCTAACAAAACACTCACATTAGTGACTCTAAGTGTGTCTTCAAGTTGAAAACTTACTAAAATAGAAAATACAGTATAATTTCATAAAATCAATTTACTAAAATATAAAATATAATCTCATATTAGCAACAAATACATACAATATTTTTTTCAAAACCGTCAGCAACATATGGAAATCAGTTAGCACCACTTTGCCACGAAAATGTGGGCCTGCTTGGTGATCAATAAAATAACTAAAGCCATTTTGGGTCCCAAAAAATTTACCACACTCATAAACAAACAAATCAATAAAAATAACTTACAGGGTTGTAATCATCAGCAGCCATTGAGGGTGACACAGATATGGGGAAGGCAGCCTGGTCAAGAGGACAAAAAGCACACAATAAATCACCAGCTAAAAAATTGGCAAGGACTCTCACAACTAACTGCTTAATAGGCAGTTGTCTAATATCACTCGGCGAAAATATTTCAAAGTACTGTTGTACAAACAAAATCACTCCGCTTAGATCAGACCTCTTCCAAACCATACAATAATGCCAGATGACTCGATACAAACCGCAGTATACAGGAGAGAGTTGCCATGTGTATTACAAGATTTCCAAGTTCCAATAACGCCAACACCAATTACAATTAGTGTAACTTACAAAAAGAACCCACGCTCAGATTAACATTACCGACTTTAACAAGGTGGAGGAAATGTTTTATCATGCCAACCGAACAAACAAAGAAATCTGTCGAAAAACAAAATGGACCAAAAGCAGCACTCGACTTACAGCCTTCAAGATGCACTGTCAGCAGTTTGTGACGCAAAGAGCACCTCGGCGCTTCTCAGTATCCTCTCTCCTTGATTCAATGCTACACCGCCAAATGTTAGTGATTAATGTATTAGCAATATGGTCGGACGCAGAGCGTTGAGTACTTCTCAATTGATCAACGTCAGTAATGGGTAATGGGTGACAAGTTGAGAAATCAAAGCGCCTACTTGACTCACTTCCTCAGCAAACTTGAGTTCCTTATTTTACAGTTGCCAATATTGATACTATCACAAGATCCTAAAAACCTATTACTTGGCGTTCTCCTGTGAGGATATTCAAAGGCATTATTTATGTGGATGATAACATTGCATACAATTGTCAGTACAGGCTGCCGGAATAATATTTAAAATGAATACCCAAAATGCACTTCACAGTTATGTCGAAGAAGAAAAACGAGAACAACATGACGCATACCTGTTAAAAGTGCTTCATAAGTCGAGTATTGGTATCTTTGTTCAAAACGCTCTACCGCATAGTGCATCAAGCCAACTTCAGGATGTTGCAAAAGAACAGTAACAGTTCTGGCACATTTCCGGGTGTCATGAGCGAGTTCGGCCGCCAGTAGGCGATGATCGCAACACCAAACAACAGAAACAAACAAAACACAAGTGTGCTTCTTTTTCGATGTCCCCAACATGAAAAAAAGAGGCTTCGTGTGGATACAAACTCGAGGTGCCAAATGTACATCTTTTCGAGGTTGTCAACAACAACACCAAAATATTTTGCGTCTAGTAGACGTTTCTAATTCATTTACCAAAACTATTCTGGTTATTTTGACAACAGGAAATAATTGCCTGTCGCCCATGAAATCTCACAAGTCAAAACCAGTGGACATGTGTTCGTAAACTACAAACATACCGTACCTGCCACCACATTGTCACCGACAGTAGCGTAGGCCGAAAACTGCGCTCCGAGGTCGACCAAACTTTGGCGAGCATGTCGGACAAGAGAAAGCTACAAAATAGGCTTTGTTATCAGGTGATTTGCCCTAAACATTAAAATGAGGTGAATCAAGTGCGTTTCATACAATGCACCGAAATCAAACTAAGTTTCGACATAGTTATGTACTTCACTTTCGGAGAAAACTACATTTTTCAAAAGACGACCCGATTGTTTGCCACTGGGTGTCGCTGCAAGGTAAAAAGCTTCAGGCAACGCACATGAAGGAGGAAGTCAAATCAACGTGGTGGGAATGTCAAAATAATGACAAATCCTTTCAAAATAAAGGTATTTGTTTCAGTTTAGCAGATTGCTTCAAATCTGTGTCCAAGTAACACAAATTTAGTTTCAGTTTAGCAAATAGCTTCGAATCCGTGTCAAAGTAACATGAATTAGGTTCTTAACTGTAATGATATTATTGCACTTTAAAAAGTAAAATTCACATAAAATTCCAAAATGAACAATTACACCGATGGAGAAATTAAGAGTCATCAAAGAACCTAACAATTAATTGTTCTTGGCAACTGCTACTGAAAAGAAGTCATCTACAAGCACTTTTAATCTACCGGCTCTGAGTCGATAAAGCAATTTCAAAGCTGACCCAAAATAACAGATAATGTATTATCCACTCATTTGCCTTGCATCACAAAACGGTTGTTGCTATGTCGGCACCCATGCTCCCATGTCACTGTATGCAGCACTTTAAATGTCTTCACTGGAATGAAGGTAAACAGGACAGGTGCAGTCACGAATCCTGTACAGTATTAGACTTAATTTCAATTTAAATAGGCATCTGGTGTCAACACAAATCGAGCTGTATATGAATTGACAATTTCCATATTTGCCAAAAAAAGGCTATTTTGCCGCCTCAATGTCTCTCACAAAAACATGCATGGCAGGCTGATTGAACATTCTAAATTGTCCCTAGGTGTGAGTGTGAGCGCGGATGGTTGTTCATCTCTGTGTGCCCTGCGATTGGCTGGCGACCGGTTCAGGGTGTCACCCGTCTACTGCCCGAAGATAGCTGGGATAGGCTCCAACACGCCCCGTGACCCTTGTGAGGATAAAGCGGATCAGAAAATGGATGGATTCCTGTTTAGTGCAGTTCGCAAAAAGGTAGCTTGACTTCTTAAATATGGCCAAAGTTTGTTAAGGAGTCATATCAAACGCTAATTTTTACACCGGCAGCCCCGTCCAAAGAGGCGAAAGCTCTTACAGTGATTAGGCCGCGGTTATCGAAATATGTGTTGTTCACTAATAAACTGCAAAAATCATCAGTATGTGGAGCTTGCCCTCCTTGTTCGGGAGGGCATACAACACATATTGTCCATTTACTGTAGTTCTGTGTCCTAATGGAGAATTTAATTTCAACATCCTTCACATTACTTCTTTTTCTTTTTTTTTTTTAAGTGTCAGTGTACAACTTAATCATGAATAAAAGCAGTATTTCTATGCAGCGAAGGTTCGAGAGGCCTTAAGGATTCCCGAGAGTTCTGATTGGTCACACCATTGTAGCACTCAATCTCCCAACACGATTCATGCTGGGAAGTGTCACGGCACTTATCTAACGTACCTCACGGCCCCAACACCACTCCACACCCTTCCTGACCCGAAACCAAGTGTGTGAGAGAAAGGGCTGACAGAGAGGCTATTCTTCTTGAGCAAGAGAATGTGTCAAAGGGGGAGGGGTGCAGGCCTGGTCATGATATCACAATCTCGTCTGCTCACTTTGTAGAGCTCCTATGGTCGCCACGAGGGGTCTTGTGCTGCATGACTATTAGTAAGACCGCAAATAAAATACTGCATTTGCGTGTGCTCAAGATGGCTTCTCACACACACCCTCCATGCCCCCCCTCCCCACACTAGGGTGGTCCACATTTTCATGGCAAAAAAAAAGTTTGTCGGATTCGTCGGGCCGGGTCGGAATTCTTGTCGATACTATGGTACAAGGTTCTGTGCAAAATTTCATTCCGATCTGATGATATTTTCCCGTCCCGCAAAGCGGCCAAAGTTTCCACCATAACAACTGGTCTCAATAGGGTGAACATGTGTATTTTAACCATGTATTTTGCCATGCGTGACACTGGCTGGGCTGAATGTTGCCCGAACGATCACCTCCTGACTAACTAACCATTCCATCGCTGCTCTCAGCAGCCGGAGACAAACTCAAACGCACGCCTAACACACAACGGTCACCTACTGGCGAGCTAATATCTTTCAATTGAAGTCGAGAATCGCCGGAATTCTTACTGGACGCTGAGCTGAGGACGCTTTTCGACATCGAAAAAAAAAAAAAAAAAAAGAGCACGAGGATCGGCAGTTCCTGCTGGGCCAGGAGAAGCGTTGCGTATTGCGTTAGTCGTGGCTGTGCCTGCGTTCAGCATGGCCGCTGCAACTGCAAGACGCTCACGCTCAGCCACCGAAGTGTGGCTTGTTGGGCAGCCCGAAGCTCACCACGGCTCGTCGGCGCGCTCGTCACCTACGGGTGGTGAACGACTTTGCGGAGAGGGGCGTCGCCCTCATCAGCGCGTTCTGCGGCGCCATTACGCGCGACGAGGAACAGCGACAGCACCTTCTGCAGGTCGTGGAGCGACACCGGGCATTGCACCCGTGCGCGAAGTAGGCATGGGATGGCACGCACGGCGGATATCGTTTTTTTTGCGGTCTAACAGTGTCACTAGTGTTGATGGACATTATAGACAGATAGACAGATAGACAGATGGACCAGTTAACATGGACCAACAATCTCACCAGTGTTGAAGGATAACCACGGTTGCCTTTTTTGCAATACATGCGTTCCTGTCTTCCGTCTTTGAATTATTGCAAGTGCGAACTGAGCAAAACAAAATCCTTACTGTACGGGAGAAACCGTACTACCATTCAGCCCCGTAACATTCTTTCCATAGGGGAAACTTTGGTCGCTCTGCGGGACGGGATAAAATTATCCGATCGGAATAAAATTTTGCACACATCCTTGTGTCATAGTATCGACAAAATTTCCGACCCGGCCCGACGAATCCGACAAACTTTTCCAAAATGGACCACCCTACCCCACACCAATAAGTTTTTTTTTGTTTTTTTTTAACTGGAGCACTGGAAGAAAACTCAGATGTGCACACAGTAAAATGACGTTCAGTCTATATGTACAAGTGTTATTTTTACTTGCAGAATTTACATTTTCAACTCAATTTTAGTGTGCAAGTTTCGACCCAACATAGAGCTTCAGTATAAATTAGGCATCTTACATAATAGTTAATGTTTAGACTGGCAGTCACTACATCACTGCACTGCCCATCTTCCTCGAATCACATTTTCAAAAGTAACCCACAATTTCTGAAGAATTTTGTTTTCGCTTGACAGAGACAGCGAGCGTACTCACAGCTTGAGAGAAGGACCAGGATCGCATATTTGGTTGATTATACCTGCAAAAGCAAGGAGAAGACTTTAATCGACAGGACACCACAGAAAATATCTGAACTTCAACTAACCGTCCCACTTAAGTACTGTATCGGCATCTCACGCAAACATGTACAGATTGCGAATTTCTCTGAGCCACACGATCTATTGCAAGCTGGCACGGACGGACTGATTTTGGCAGATTCCGTGGAAGATATTTTTTAATGGTTGGAATGTGGTAGGTTGGTACCAGTGGTTTTGATAATGCACTTGGCAAAACTGACACAGCAACATGGGCTCCCAAAGCTGAAAATAAACAGTGCATCCCGGCCGGGCCTCACCCTGTAATTTAAGGCAACAAAAATGGAAGCTTCTTTCCCTGCGTTGCAGTTGCTTAACCCTTTTCCCTCTTCTGATCGAGGTTATTAGAGTGAACGAAAACGAACAAAATCAGTCAAACTAAAAATGACAAAAATAAAAATGAATGCTCGTAATAAAAACATCTCACACTCAACAAATGAAAAAACCTCGTCATATGAAAAAAGTAAAACCAATCCAAAATAAAATAAAACAAATAAATTCCAAAAAAACTAAACAGACTTACTCAAAATACTAATTTAAACTAACTGAATAGAAAAAAATAAAGTAAAAACAAAATAAAATATAAAGGGAATGTAAAGGGAAAATCCAACCCAAGTATTATAACTCAACTTTCCATCTCTTTTTGTTTTTTTAAAATGTGTTTGTTTTTTCTTAAACAAAATAACACGATTTGGTTGTCAGACCGACAGCAGGAAGAAGGGGCTTAAAAAAACAGGCCAACCTGTCACATAGAACCACACAACAAACTGATGCCCACATTACTACAGCAACAGTGACAAAAGGCTGGCCGCAATATTAGGTACAGCCATACAATCTAGCTACATTAACTATAATATTTTGCCTTAGCATTACGCAATGCACTGAATGCATTTCACAACAAACAAGATAACACAATATTGTTAAATGTCAATTAAAATAGAACATTGTTTCCGATTTAAATTTTGGATACGCCTCCTGTCATGGATGGTGGATACTGTATATCCACCCATAGCTGACACTTCTCACCTCTTTTTCAACAGATACCAAATACTCGCGGCAGATTGGCCAACACTGCAGCAAGTTACGAGTGCTGACTGTAGGCAGGCTACTAATACGCCAAAAAGGTTAGAATCATTTGCACTATTTAGAGTACAATAGATATTTTTTTCCCACAATGTTTATATTTTTGACTGTGGAAAACCTCTGAAGGCCGAGTTAAGAATTGATGAACAGATGCGCCCCACTGACACGAGTGTTGGCCAAGCATCAAAGTTCTATATTTAAGGTGTTTGATAGGGTTGAGGTCAGGGCTTTCAAATTTTGTACAAAGAACAGCCAAGCATGCCTTTGTGGAGATTGCTTTGTGCCCGGACAAAAGAAAATGGCTTTCTCCAAACAGTTATCCAAAATGTGTTGAATGCATGACTCATGAAGATGCATGGCAAAGAAAGGAGTCAGGCCCATTAATAAATTAATCGATTAAGATGTGTTTGTCTGCTTTTTGTCCTTCATGGAACCAAACCAAGTCGATGCGTGTGACATGAGAATGTTAACCAATGCTACATCACATTAAATGTGCTGTCATGTGGAAAACTAATTTGTTTTTGTACATTTCCCTCCTAAAACGATGATGACAGCCGATTAATTCCTGCATCAGTCATATCCCCTGCCCTTAACCAATGCCTTGCCCTGTATTGCTAGACGCCAGCACACTCCCACGGCAATGAGTCAACCGATTAGCGTCGCGTCCGTTTATTTATTGTAAATAGGAGTCATTTGATGCGATTGAGCGGGCGACAAATTGGCTGTGA